GGTAAGTATTTTATAATCTAAGCCCCACAAAACCGTTGCAATGGTTTGACTGCGGGGTCGAGTCGCTAGACATTATAATCAAATGTACTTATATTTAAATGTTATACCGGCGTTGAAACTTATACTTACTTATTATTAGGACATTTCTAAATAATATGACTTTAATTTTCGTTTGAACCTATTTGAATTTGTTTCACTCCTTATGTCTGCCGGCAGACTGTTTAATAGATACGGTATTCTCTTTTTTAGTGTTCTATCACCAAAATAGTTGGTGACTCTGGGTAATTTATTCAGTACAAGAGCTAACAGAGCTCTCCTGTCAGTCCATAGTACTGAGACATGATCCCTGACTTCGTGCCTTCTAGAAAGACTTAAAGCAGAGAGCAATCCTAGGAATTACTTTATGCAACAACATCCATAATTTTGATAATTGACCAACAATGGGCAAATTCCATACAAAAAATACAACACTACATCCCTACTACTTCTACTAAAACATACTAGAAAGGCAATTTGATATTAAACTGCCACCCATCCAAAAAATTACCTTGTCATGCAAAACCTTTAGGATCAATTTGTATGCATGATATTATTTATCAATGAGCTTCTCTACTATCCTATATATAGTAGAAAGAGCATCTATAATCACAAGATGAAAATCTTAAAAATCTCCATACAGAATAATTTAGACTGAGATGACTTTAGGATGTTTTATATCTGAAAGCACTTATATTATTTGATCATAGCATAGATACATAGGTATATTAGTAACTATTGTTCCATTTAAAAAGCCTCATCCGATGGTATGTTGCTATTGCCGGGTGGGCCCAGACTACAAACATTGGTTCTTTTTTTTTCGATTTGTAGCTTTCATATCTAAAGTGGCTTGGTTTGGATTTGATCCTTTTCATGTAACTACAATAATTTCAACAAAGAGTAAGATTTTGGCGTGGGGTATTATTTAACCAATAAATAGCACATGCCAAAGTCGGACCAAGTCTACAATCCGCATAGTCAAAATTTTTCACTATCTTAAAGCCAGTCTATATATTAACTCACCTGTATGCGCATAGGAGATGGGAACTTTCCAAATGGAAACTTGGGAACAAATAGTGGTCAGGAACTTGGCAAAAGCGAGCGGCACGAGAGTCCGCCAGTAGTAGCGGCGCGGGAAGTCAGTCTGGCGTCGCACGCCGCAGAGCGCGAAGGCGGGCGCGCTCAGCAGTACGATGCTCAGCAGCTGCACCATGGTGACGGTGACGGGGTACGGGAAGTCCGTCAGCACCAGCTTGCCCACCACGTTGCTGGCCGAGCTGGCCGCGTACCACGCCAGGCACAGCCCCACCACCACGAGCGCCTCGCGCCGAGACGTGTCCAGCGCCATGCCAGCTTCTCGACTTCAACTTGTTGCGCAGCAGCCTGTTATCTCCTTCATACTTCTTCAGCGGCCAGCTGCCTTTGAAACTGTGTTATTGTTAATTTTATTATTTCGGCTTCACATTTTATTTCAATAATACTTAAATGGATTTATAACAAAAAACTTCACGGTATTTTCAAAGCAGCAAATTGGCCACTAGTCATACACTCACATTTTGGTTACAAATACGAGTTTTGGTCCACGAGTACATATTTAAAAAAGATTGTTACTTTTTGACACGATACATAAAACTTCCGAACTTGCAGTACTCGTGTCAGCCATGTAGGCTTCCTTTCAATATTTCTTCCCACGAAAGTAGAACTGGTTTATTATTATTCTTTATTAAATAGTGAATACACAATGTACAAATATGTACTTTTTAATTCAACTGCTCCCCGCGGACTACCGGACGGACCACCACACACATTTGATTAAGTACATGATGTGAATGAAGTTCTAATGTTGTCAGTTGTCAGGTTGTCAATGTCAAATGTCACGCAGTCACGATTTGTCAAAAAACGATTTCATTCAAGATTATACATCCCACATATGGACATCTATGACTATGAATTTTGTTTTTCATATTTGATGGGTCGATGTTTAACCACTATCCGTAGATATAATTAATACCTGTTTTATCAATGCCATTATCACCACCACCACCACATTATGGCACATCGACAGAAAACTATATTGGCGATGCAAAGATTATCCGCGCACCTCTAGTGGCGAAATTCAGAAGTTGTCTAAGAACGACACTTTGCTTTCGTGTTGAAGTTTTTTAAACATAATCAAATGGATCACGATTACATACAGTAACCTGGTTTTAATAAACGCAGAAACACAAAATATTTTTGCGTTCCTCAATGTTACTCACCGAGATTCGGGAATAAGTTTTCATTTATTTCCAAAAGACCAAATTATGAATCAAATTAATTTTCTATCTGTATGGAAAGAGAAAAGAGCAGCTGTACACCACATAACCTTCTCAGATTTACTTAGCAGTGATATGTATTTATTTACTTTTCAACCGACTTCAAAAATACTGTTTTTGACGTGACAACGTCTTAAATTAGGTTGCGGCTGGGAGTCACTTATGAAAAAGTGTAACGCTCGGTAACGTTACGATGAGTCACCGAACGAGAGAGAGGCCCGCCGAATGCCTTGCGTCTCTCTCCCACTCAACTATGATCGGTCTGCCGCGCGCGCAGCACTAGTTCATTCAATTCCTTGTTCCTATTGTGCAATTTAATTATATTCATATCAATAAATATTCTACCGAGAAAAAGACGTTGTCACGTAAAATCTTCGCTCGTAAAAACGACTTTACAGGCAACCATTTTTTTTTTATGTTTGTTACTCGATTACTCGAAGACGCCTGGACCGATTCCAAAAATTATTTTTTTTTGAAAGGGTTTTTTTTTAAGGGGGGAAAATCATCGAATGACTGCTCCCACCTGGGTGAGGCGGGAGGGAGTGTCAGACTCTTACTGACTAAAAACCACCCCGTTCCTTTCCTGCACGTCGAGCCGGAGCCCCGGTTGCCCGTTAGGTTCTCCGCGACTCCGAATCGGCATCGGCCCTATTGGGCCCCATCTGTGGTGGTCTGATGGCTCTTTGAGGCGCGTGCGGAACGCGACGCGCCGTACGCTCGGGTCTGTTTCTGGTCGGACGGGGAGCCACCCATGATCGCCGTCCGCAGGCCCGCGCTTACGGTGGCCGGAGATCGTCTCGCGATCCCCGACGCGCGGTGTGTCCTTCGCGATGGCTGGGTTGCGAGGAGGCAGCGCTTTGCTGCCTCACGCGTCCCGCCTCCTCCTTTGTTTGAAAGGGTAGGTTTGTCATTTGGTCCCATTGTCATGAAGTCAGGATCTGATGATAGAATCCCAGGGAAACCGAGTGCATTTGTTATTTTTTTCGTTAAGTATTTATAACCACTAGAATATGATAACGGTCTGGAGCTGATCTGATGATGGAGTCGATAGGCAGTCGAGGAAACTCCTCAACGGTTAACAGTAGCTACATTGTGTTTGGGTTTGATTAATTTGTATTATTGAGGACTTTATACCTAGGTGGTATGTGATTGCCAATAAGGGTCTGATGATGAAGTACTACCATAGTTGAGGGAACTCCTCAGCGATTAACAGTAGCTAAATTGTGTTTGGGTTAGATTAATTTATATTGATGAGGACTTTATACCTAGGTGGTAGGTATGTGATTGCCAATAAGGGTCTGTTGATGAGGTAGTACCATAGTTGAGGGAACTCCTCAACAGTTAACAGTAGCTTGTCTTGTATTAGGGTTCGATTAATTTGTATTGATGAGGAATTTACACCTAGGTGTGGTGTGGTTGTCACTAAATGCCAATGATGAAGTAGTATGATAGCTAAGAGAATAATGGTTAACAGTAGCTACCCGGTGTTTGAGCTTGAATAATATGTATTGATGAAAACATCGCACCGATGTGGGTTGTGCATAATATAATATATTCTAGTACTAAACTAAAAATTATAAAATAAAAATAAATAACTGCGTTTAAAAAAACCGACTTCAAAAACGAAAATGAAACAAAAAGTAAAAACTAAAATGCAAAAAATAACTAATATTGGTCATGCGTACTTATAGCTTACAAACCCACTGATAGATTAGAAGTCGGTGTCAAGTGCAGTACAAACTTTAACCTCAACTCGAAAGCAAAGTGTCGTTCTTAGACAACTTCTAAATTTTGCCGCTAGAGGCGCGTGGATAATCTTTGCATCGCAAAGCGCGGCAACGCCATGTTAGAAAATTTGAACTAAATTTAATCAATATGAATACCGTAAAACGGGGGTGAATAGAATTCGAGGGGTGAATAGATAGAGGAATGGGGTGAATAAATGTTAGAATATTTTCCCAATCCCAATTCGCCACCCCGTTTTACTCAGGTATAGTTGCGTTACTTGTGTGTTGGGTTTTGGTCATCAAGATACCGCCCACTAAGGACATTATTGACAGAATGTCCTTCTCAATAACATAATTTTTAAACATAAAATAACAATATGATCTTATATTACATAACAAACATGAATATCCTAAGTTGACACCAAAGTTCCCTTAGGTAATAAATAAATGATTACTTTATTACACAAACCAAAATTTGCACAGGTAAGTAAGTACAAATTATGTTAGTAGGTACCTATAACAAAACTTTATAAATTTATCAAAACATCTAAAACAAAACTTATCATGTAAAAATAAAACCTAAAAATAATTTTAAAATGTGTAGCAAAAATCTTGTAAAAATAAACCTTAAGACTTGTAAAACATAAAATTATGTAAAAGTAAAATTGAAACTTGTAAACACAAAGCTAAGTTTTCACAAGTTGATGTCAAGTGAATTATAGATCTCAATCAATCGGTTACTGGTAGAATGCACAGCCTGGCAGTCGGTCGGTCGATTGGGGATGATTTTGTTCTTAAAGTAACGACTCGAGTTAGGTTATCACTTCCGGGATACTTTTATATAATTCTACCTAATAACCAACGACTTGGTGGCTAATCATCTTCCTTTACTAAGACAATGTCGCCTATATTTGGTTATGGAATCTTGTTGGACTAAGTACTTGTACGTACCTATGCATAAGATTCGTTAAATATTCCTGGGACCACCGTTTCCAAAATGACTGAAGCATTATTTGAATACCTATGTTGCCACCGAGTTAAGCTGCTACCAGTTGTATTTTCAAAACGAGCATCGGGTGCAGCTATTATTGGTTCACCAATTAAAAAATATGCGGCAGTCAATGGTATTGGTATTCACAACACTTAAGGGACGTAAATTTAAACATCCCTTTATTTGTGCGAGTAATGTGGCCATCGCTTCATAAGTAAGAGAGTCCCAATCACTCGCCTGAGGTGGAATTTTGTAAATCTCACCCCTGCTTCCCATAAACCACCAAAGTTAGGGCTGTGAGGGTTGATGAAATGCCATTCAGTTTTACTTGACCCCATGTGACCTGCTAACATCGCTTCGTTGGACGCTAGCTGTTGTAGTTCTCTGGCAGCACTTACAAATATAGTGCCATTATCACTCCATATTTTGGAGCAATGACCTCGTCTGCTGACAAACCGTCGGAATGCTGCGAAAAATGCCTGTGTGCTCATGTCGCTAACTACTTCCAAATGTAGTGCGTGGGTGGACATACTTACACACAAAAAGGCAAATGTAGCTCTTATAGGAATTATGTCCGCGCCCTTTGGTTGTCCAAACGTTAATCGGTCCCGCATAGTCCACGCCACTATGTAAAAATGGTCGTGCTGGAGAACACCTAATGCTTGGCAGAGATCCCATTAGTTGGTTTCTGGTACTGGCTTGATTTCTTGCGCAGGTGACACATATGCGAACATGGCCCTTTACTAGGTTCTTGACACCTATTATCCAGTAAGCTGATCTTAAATAGTTGTCATTAGCTGTCATTAGCTGTGACCCACCGTGAAGCGTGAACTGTCAAACACCAAGCGGTCACCGGTGACCGCAACCTATTGTTCTATAATTGTGTCTACAAAACCGGTACTCGACGAGTTAAATGAGCGTCCGCGACTATGACTTTAGTCAGATGAGTAGAACCAGGTAGAACTATTGGGTGCTTGGTCTGTGCCTCTAATGAAGCCCTCTCAAGTCTACCTTATACTATAATTATGCCCTTCTCGTCTAAATAAGAACTTAGTGATTGAAGTTTGCTAGACTTCGTTTGGTAATAGCCTTTTTATTGTAGTTGCAAACATTCCTCTGTATATACATCCCTTTGTATTTGTCAAATACAACATTCTAAAGCGGATTCTATTTCTGTTTTTTTGTAAATATATTTTATTACTCGAGCTACATTTTAGAAAACTTCGACAGTACGCAATTACTTTGAGTCATTTTTGTAAAGAAGAATATTTACATGTATTTTTATTGATTCTTCCAAATTACCTTGTAATTCCGTAGGTCTGTTGTAATCAATAATTTTTGGGGAATGAATTGAGGAATGAATGCCCACAAAACCACATTTGAGTGTTATCAATACGCTAGGCAACAATCGTCTTGAGGCGCAGTCTGCAGGGTTGTCCTTGGTTTTCACATGAAACCACTGCGTGCGATGCCTTCATGGTTGTCAGTATTTCTGCGGTGCGATTTACCATAAATGTTTTCCACCTGCTATTGGTAGAATCGGTCCAAACATTTCACAAACTCGTTCTCTAGAAGTACTGAGAACATCTGCTGCCCCAATCAATGATCTTGCCAAAAAGACTGCTCCACACAATTCCAGACGGTGGTGGTAACCACCGTCTTAGAGCAGTCTTTTTTAATGACCTACTTGACAGGAGCCACTCTAGTTCGTGCTACCAGCAACGAAACGGGTACCCCGTCTACGGCATTTAGTACTCGCAAGTAAACAACTGCTAAGTACGCGATCTTGGAAGC